CTAGAAGGTTTAAGCCAAACCCTTATCAGGAGTTTGCTCTTCCACTGAGCTAAAAGTTTTTACTTAAGTAATAATTAGTTATTTTTTTATATTGCCTATAATATCGTCACATTTTATTTATCTTTCAAAAATTAGCATCTTACTAAACCTCCTTAATAATATTAAATATTTTTCTAGCGCACCTTCCAGTACGGCTACCTTGTTACGACTTCACCCTAGTTACTTAATACCATATAAGAACTTGAATTTCTTTTTATAATAATAAATTTCTCTGATGTGACGGGCGGTGTGTACAAGATCCTTTAATTATTCACCATTGTATAGCTGACCAATGATTACTAGCGATTCCTACTTTATTTAGAAATTTCAATCTAAATGCCGTACTATGAAAAATTTTTAAACTTATTTTTATTTTACAATAAAAATTTATGCAAAAATTTATTATATTTTTCCATGTGGCATGTGAAGTAGCCCAAAATATATAGAGCATGATGACTTGACGTCTTCCTTTCCTTCCTCTAAATTATAGTAATAATTTAGCAGTATATAATAGATATTTTAATACTATATAAGGGCAACGTTTGTTATGGAACTAAATCCAACACCTCACGGCACAAACTGACGACAGCCATGCACCACCTGATTAGTCTATTTTTGGTAAGGTTTTTTCGTGTTACATCGAATTAAACCACATGCCCCACCGCTTTTAAGGATCCCCGTCAATTCCTTTAAGTTTCATTTTTTCAAACGTACTACCCCAGGCGGAAAACTTTAAGCGTTAGCATAAAAAATATTAATTTAATACTAATATTTTTAAGTTTTCATCATTTACAGCTAAGACTGACTGAGGTCTCTAATCTCATTTGATACCTTAGCTTTCGTGCCTCAATGTCAGAATTTTTATAATAAAAAGCTTTCACTTTATTCTTCCTTTTTAGATCAACATATTAAACTACTTCCTAAAAAGTTCGTTTTATTCCTAAAAATCTCTAAGTTGATTAATATCTTAATAAAGTACTATGCATTTTATAGTATTTCTCATAAGATACAATTAACCATCTACGCACCCTTTACGCCCAATAATTCCGAATAACGCTTGCATCTCTCGTATTACCGCGGCTGCTGGCACGAAATTTGCCGATGCTTTTATTTTTAAAGTCTGTATCTTATAAAAATAATTGAAGTTTACAATAATATTAAATTACTGTCATCCTTCACGGAAAATGACTCTGTCAAGCTTGCGCTCATTGCAAAATATTCCCCACTGCTGCCTTCCAACGAAGTTTGAGTCTTTTCATACCCACTGTGGTTGGTCACCCTCTCAGGCCAACTACTAATCATCGCCTTAATAAAATTTTATTAATTAGCTAATTAGATAAAAGTTTATATTTAGATAATACATTATTTTTTAAAAACACAAATGTGGTATATTAAATTTTATATATTATATTTAATCTAAACGTAAATTCTTTTTATACTCACCAGTACACTATGTTTATATAATAATAATAAAAACATATAATTTGCATGTGTAATGTATTTTCCACGCGTTTATTCTGACTAGGATCAAACTCTTTTGTCAAAAATCCAGAAATATATAATTACTTGTATATATAATTTTTAATAGTTTAATAGGTAAAACATTCGGCTGTTAACCGAAAGATCATTGGTTCAAATCCATTTAAAAAGTAAATTTTAATATAGAAAAAGAGAGTCGAACTCTTACGAATATTTTTTTCCTTAGATCCTAAATCTAATACGTCTGCCATTCCGTCATTTCTACTAAAATTAAAATGTAAACCTAATAGGATTTGAACCTATATTAAAAACTTAGAAGGTTTTTGTCTTATTCCCATTAGACTATAAGTTTTAGGTAAAATTGGATTTGAACCAATGTCCTTTTGTGTGTAAAACAACTACTCTACCTCTCTGAGCTACATACCTCCTATATATAATATATATAGGTATCTATATTTTAGATAGGTAAAATACTTGGTTGCGGACCGGGTGGACAGGGGTTCGAGTCCCTTTAGGTACAAACCAAAATTACAGAAGTGGGATAGAGTAAATTGGGTAACTCATCGGGATCATAATCCGAAAATTATTGGTTCAATTCCAATTCTCACTTAAATATATTATATAATTGAAGGGTTATTTATTTAATATTATAAAAAATAATTTTGATACATATGGTATAAAATGAATATTTAGATACTTAGAGACGAAGAAAGACGTAAATAGTTTACGAAAACCTTTAGGTAATATCTATACTAATATAATGATCTAAAGATTTCTGAATAAGGTAATATACTTTATATATTTACAAATTTGTAAAAGTAAACCTGAGGAACTGAAACATCTTAATACTCAGAGGAACCTAATATAACAATGATTTTCTGAGTAACGGTGAGAGAAATGAAAATAAAATATTAAAAATATTTTAAGTTGTAAGTAATTCATATGTTTAAATGAATGAATTTAATATACATAAAAGAATCTCCTTTTAAAACTTTAATACTACTAAGTTTCGATAGCATATTAGTACCGTGAGGGGAATAATGAAAAGAATTCCGAAAGGGAAGTGAAATAGAATTTGAAATTTTATACTTAAGAATCAAAAGAATTGATTTACAGAATTTTATTGATTACTTGTTGAAGAATGGGCTTACGAGTTATATAATTAGGCTATTTTTGGATTAAAAAATTTAATTTTGTAGTCAAAGTTAATGCAAGCTTTATTTATTATAATAAAAGCATATAAAGTCTAATTATATATACCCGATACCAAATGATATAACTATATTCAAGATTTTATAATTTAAGTATATTTATAAGAGTCTGAATTGGTTAATGTTGCAAAATTATCAAATGAAATATAGTTAGAGGTGAAATGCCTATCGAATTTGGAGCTAGCTGGTTCTCTTCGAAATGTATTTAGGTACAGCTATTTAATTATTATACTGAAGGTAAAGTTAATAAATATTTATAATATTCTTTAAATGTCTGTATAACTTTATTAAATAAGTTAGACTTTAAGGGACAATCTTTAAAGTCGAGAGGGGAAACAACCCAGACCATTGAATAAGGTTCTTAAATATTTATTTAGTTAAAAGGAAGTTTTAATACGTAGACAAATAAAAAGTACGCTTAGAAGCAGCTATCTTTTAAAGAGTGCGTAAAAGCTCATTATTTAAGTATTTTAGCGCCGATAATTTAAGTAGGAAATAAATAAATTACCGATGTTGTGGGATCTAATAAAATGATCAGTAGAAGAGCGTTTTGTATTAGTATAAAGTTAATTTGTAAAAATTAATGAACAACACAAAAGTGAAAATGTAAGCTTGAGTAATTTAATATATTAATTATAAATTAATACTTTGAAGATTTTAAGGATTCCTATTTAAGAAAAACTAAATAGGGTTAGTCGGGGCCTAAGATGAGATTAAAAAATGGTAGTTGATGGATTTTAAGTTAATATTCTTAAACCTTATTTATTTTACTATAATATTATAGAAAATTATTATAAGTAAATTAAATAAATAAGCCCGTACTTAAACTGACACAAGTAAATAGGTAGTCTTTATACTAAAAAGGTAAGTGATTTTTTTTTAAGGAACTAGGCAATTTTATTCTGTAACTTAGGGATAAAGAATGACCATTATTTAAATGTGGTCACAGAAAGTAGTTCAAACGACTGTTTATCAAAAACACAAGTTCTCGCTAAATGTAATGATGAGGTAAGAGAGCTGACACCTGCCCAGTGCTGTTTGTCAAAAAAAAGTAAAATAATTTACTTTTTAATCTTCAGTAAACGGCGGCTGTAACTATAACGGTCCTAAGGTAGCGAAATTCCTTGTCGGGTAAGTTCCGACCCGCACGAAAGGGTGTAACGATTTGAACTCTGTCTTGAAAAAAAGCTTGATGAAATAACATTATTCGTGAAGATGCGAATATCTCACACTCGGACAGAAAGACCCTACGAAGCTTTACTGTAATTTGTAGATTAAATTTTATAATTAATTGTATAGATATGTGGGAGAGAAATTTTTTTATAAATGAAAAACCACTCTTTTAATTAAAAGATTTTAACGTATTTTTAATCAAAATACGAAACATTTAAAAAAGACAGTTTGACTGGGGCGGTAACCTCTTAAAAAGTAACTGAGGTGTACAAAGGTTTTATAAATATAAAATAAATATAAAACTTGATTGTTAGATTTGATATATCGAACAAGGATGAAAGTCGGTTTTAGTGATCTGACTTATTATGTGATAATAAAGTCACTTAACAGATAAAAGTTACTCTAGGGATAACAGGCTTATCTTTTCTGAGAGTCCTTATCGACGAAAAGGTTTGGCACCTCGATGTCGGCTCATCACATCCTAAAGCAGTAGTTTGTTTTAAGGGTTAGTCTGTTCGCCTATTAAAGTGGTACGTGAGCTGGGTTCAGAACGTCGCAAGACAGTTCGGTCCATATCCAGTGTGAGTCTTAGAATTATGAAAAATAATTTTTTTTTAGTACGAAAGGAGCGAAAGAATTAAACCTCTAGTGTATCGATTATTTTAAATAGTATCTGTCGAGTAGCTAAGTTTATAAAATTAATTACTGAAAGCATATAAGTAAGAAATTTTATTTAAAATACTTCTATTCTTTTTAGATTAAGAAATTAATAAGATTAATTAATTGATAAAATTTAAATATAAGTATAGTAATATATTAAGTTTAAAATATTATTAATAATTCGAATATCAAAGTTATATAGTTAATTTAGCTTAATTGGAAGAGCTACTGATTTGTAATCAGTTGGATAAGAGTTCGAATCTCTTGATTAACTTTGATTGTAAATATTATAAATATTTTGTTTATATGAAATTTAAAACCATTTTAAATAAACCTTACAAATATGGATTTAAAATTAATTTAAATACTAATATTTTAAGAGGTGGATTAAATTTAAATTTAATTTCAAATTTAAAATTATTAAATAAAGAAACATTATTTATTACCAAATTACGAGGGAAAAAGCATTAAAAACTCTTTTTAAATTAAAAATACCTGATTGGAATTTTAGTGAAAGTCCTGATATTAATTATGATTCTTTAATTTATTATTCTAAACCAAAAATTAACCAATCTGTTAAATTATTACTAACAGAAACTTTTAAAAAATTAGGATTCTCTCTTACAAACGAACAAAATATTACAAATACCGCCCTAGATCTTATTTTTGATAGTGTATCTGTATTAAATACAATTAAACCATATCTAAATAAATTTGGAATAATTTTTATTTCTTTATTTGAAGCTTTAAATTTCTTTTCTTATTTAGTCTTTAAATATATAAATACAATTGTCCCTATACAGGATAATTTTTTTTGCAACAATAAATAGTATTGTATTTAGTGAAGGATCTTTTTGTTATATTCCTCAAGATATTATATGTAATTTTAATTTATCTACATATTTTAGAACTAATACAAAAAATTTTGCTCAATTTGAAAGAACTTTATTAATTGCTGGAAAAGCTTCGTCTGTATTTTATATCGAAGGATTGTACAGCTCCTATATATAAAGAGTCTCAATTACATATAGCAATTGTAGAAATTATTGTTCAATCACAAGCTTTTGTAAAATATATAACTGTACAAAATTGGTATAAAGGAAATAATTTAGGAGAAGGTGGGATTTACAATTTTACTACAAAAAGAGGACAATGTTTGGAATTTGCTAGTTTAGAGTGGCTTCAAGTTGAAGTAGGTTCATCTATAACTTGGAAATATCCTTCATCTATTCTTAGAGGGGATTACTCAAAAAGTAGTTTTTATTCCATTTCATTTGTGTCTGATTTTCAAATAGCCGATACAGGTAGTAAAATTTTTCATTTAGGTAATTTTACTAAAAGTAATATATTATCTAAAAGTATTTCTTTACATTCATCAAAAAATATTTATAGAGGTTTAGTTGAAATTTCTAAATATGCTTTTGGAGTTATTAATAAAACTGAATGTGATTCTTTATTATTTGGAAATAATTCTTTAACTGTAACTATTCCTTATAGTAAGGTATATAATTATTCAACAAATTTACAACAAGAAGCATGTATTTCCAAAATAGATGAAAATTATTTATTTTTTATGCAACAAAGAGGTTTAAATTTATCTACTGCAATTTCTCTATTAGTTAATAGTTTTTGTGGCAATATTTATGAAAAATTACCTCTTGAATTTGTAGCTGAAATTCCGTTACTTGTATTTAATAAAATTAAAAATATTTATTAATTTTTAAAATTAATGATTTTAAATTATTCTAAAAAAGATATAAATTATTTAATTAATATTTTTATACAGAATAAATCTATTCTTTTATTTAATTATAAATTAAAAAATAAAACTTATAAAACTAAATTTATTAATAAAAATTATAAAATATCTAATTTTTTTAGGATTTATAGTAAATAATACTTATCAAATTCATATTAATGTTTTATCTAAAAAATCACAAATATTTACAACAACAGTGGAAACTTCAAAAAAATTTTAAAATTATTTTTTTTACAAAAATTATTAATTCTAACAAATACTCCTTATTTAAAATTATCTTTAGTTAAAACTTTATTTTTAAAATTGATAAAAATAAATATTTTATCAAAAAATAGTATAAAAATAGATTGTTTTAATTATAAAATATTAAAAATTAATAAAAAAAAATTAACTATACAATTGGAAGAAGTTGCAGATAAATTTGTATTATCTATTAATATTAAAGCTTATAATATCAATTTATGATTTTTTTACTACAAAATAATTATATATCATATCATATTTTTTAATTAAAAATGAATATATTAATTTATTTTTTAAACAATTACAAAAATATATTAAAATAAATTTTATTAAACATTTTTATAATTATAATAATTATATTAAATTTTATTTAAATTCTTATTTTTTTGATATAAAAAAATTACCTTCTATCCAAATTATAGATTTTATTCAAAAATATGAATATTTTTTTCAAATTTTATTTCCTAGTACTATTAAAATTAATAATAAAATTATACATAAAAATTTTTTATTTTATAATTTTCCAATTTGTCAATATCAAGGAATTTTTATATTAAATGGAATTAAACGAATATTACTGCCACATTTTATACAATCAGAAAGTTTAAAATTTATAAAAATTTATAAAACTGATCATACATTATATTTAATTAATATTTTATTTTCTAAATATAATCTTTATTTTACTATAGAGTTTAATAATTTTACTAAAAATATAAATTTTTTATGTAAAATATTAAATATTAAATTAAATTTTATTCATTTATTATATTTTCTTAATATAAATAATAAATTAATAACAACTTTTTCTTTATATGGGAATTCTAATTTTTTAAAAAAAATTTTATATAAGGCAAGTAAAACTTATAATTTTTTAAACATACAATCTTTTATTACAATATGTTTAAAATTATTTAATTTTAATTTAATAACTCATATTTTAGCTATACAAATTAATTCAATTAAAAATTTAGTTCAAATTTTAGACTTTATATTAGACTTTTCAATAACAAAAAAATACTATAACCATGACTCTTTTTGTAATAAAAAAATTAATATATCTACAGAAATTTTATTTAATTTTATAAATATTCATACTAAATGGATTTTAACTCATTTAACAACATTAATTTATAATAAATTAATTAAACCAACTAATATTTTCAATTTATATAGAGAATTTTTACTAATCAATCCTCTTTTTAGAATTTTAGAAGAAACTAATATTTTATCTGAATTAACTAATTTATTTAAAGTAATACATTCAAATGCTGCTAAAACATCAATAGGCAGTAGAGATTTTCAAATAAATCAAATAAATACTTTTTGTCTATTACATACATCTGAGGGACCTTCCAGTGGATTAATTTTATCTAAACTTTTTTGCAACTTTTTATGATACATCTTCTAAAAACCAATTAACTACTTATTATAATTCAACACCTGTACAATTTTATACAAATCTTTCTACCAAATTAATATCTAACAAACAAGAACAATATAAAATATTATTAACCAACAATAATATTAAAAAATTAACTTATTTTAATAAATTTTTATTACCTACTATTTGGTATTATAATATAAATTTTTTTAATACTAATACTTTTTATCTCGGAACTATAAATATTACAAATTTACTAGGGCCTGCAGAAAATTTAATTCCTTTTATTTTTTTTACTGATCCGACTAGAAGTTTAATGGGAGCTAAAATGCAAACTCAATCTATACCTGTTTTAGGATCTACTTATTCATTTATTTTGACAGGACAAGAAAAAAATATAATATATAATTCTGATTTAATTTATGCTCTTCAAGAAGGAGTTGTTACTTATGTGTCGTCTTTTAAAATTAAAATACGAGATCTTTTAAATAGAGAAATTACATATTATTTAAATAAGTATAAATTAACTAATCAAATTACTGTTAAATCTTTATTACCATTAGTATGGGTAGGTGAACGAGTTTCAACTGGACAGGTACTAGTTAATAGTACTATGACTCGTTCAGATGAATTAGTATTAGGAACTCCTCTTAAAATTGTATATGGTTCTTATTTTGGATATGATTATGAAGATTCTATAATTATTGCACAACAAATATTATATAATAATATATTCTCATCACTACATATTTATGTATATACTAGTTTTTATAAATTTCATAATAGTACCAATTTTACTTATGAGTACAGTAGTTTATTAATACCTAAAACTTCTATGTATTTTAAAAGACATTTAAATGCTTATGGTATAATAAAAGAAGGGTTCTAAAATTTTAGAAAATGATATTCTTGTTTCGAAATTAAGTACTATGAAAGTAATTAATACTAATTGCAATATTAATTATTTAATAACATTGTTATTTGGAACAAAATTATCTAATATTACAAATTTTTCTATTAAAACTACAAAAGATATTTGTGGAAGAATTTTAAAAACAGAACTTTTTATTCAAACTTATTTAGTTATTAGAGTTTTTATTGGTACTATTAGACTATTAGAAATAGGAGATAAATTATGTGGGAGACATGGAAATAAAGGTATTATTTCGTATATATCAAAAAATGTTGATATGCCTTATACATCTGAGGGCGAATTTCCAGATTTAATTACAGGATCGTTAGGTATTCCGTCTAGAATGAATTTAGGTCAGTTATATGAGGGTTTATTTGGTGTTACTAGTTTTTATTTAAATACTCGTTATGTCATAAAAAATATAGTGGATAATATATGTGGGGTAAATTATTTAAAATATTTTTTATATGAAAAATTACAACAAAGTGCTGCCCAAACAAGTTATATGAATTTATTTAATTCTAATGAGCCAGGGAAAATTAATTTAAGAGATGGCAGATCGGGAGATAGTTTAAAAGGTACTATGTGTTTAGGTATTATACAATATTTTAAATTAATTCATATGATTAAAGATAAAGTTCAATGTAGAAATGTAGGAAGTTATACTAATATTAATCAACAGCCTGTTCGAGGTAAATCGCGTCAAGGGGGGCAACGATTTGGAGAAATGGAAGTATGGTCACTAGAAGCTTTCGGGGCTGCATATTCTTTAAGAGAATTATTGTCTAGTAGATCTGACGATTTACAAGCTCGGGATGCTTTACACACAATGTTAATAAATAGTAAAGAATTTTTGACTAAAACATATATATCTGAACCATTTAAACTTATTTTAAAAGAATTATCTAGTTTAGCTTTAAATATAAATATTTCCGTAATATATTCAACTCTACATAATAAAATAAAAAATTATTT